ATGAGTGTGGACTAAAGAAAGAAGGGGGATTGATCCATTATGATAAATGGATCTATATCCCAAGGGATCAAATGCTGCGGGGTGATATCATTGCCATGTGTCACGATCATGCAACCACTGGACATCCTGGGATTGTGAAAACAAAGGAGTTAATCCTGAGGGAGTATTGGTGGCCAAAAATAGATTATGATATCACCCGATATGTCAAAGCTTGTGAGACCTGTCAGCAAGGCAAGACTTCAACACAACCCAGAGCTGCCCTGCTCCATCCAAATGAAGTCCCTTCATCACCATGGACCCACATTTCGGTTGATATGATAACAGGACTTCCCAAAAGCAATGGCTATGACACAATCATCATCATCATCGATCGCTTCTCGAAGGCAATCATACCGATCGCCTGTTCTACAGAATTAACATCCGAGGGATGGGCAAAACTACTACGAGATGAGGTTTATGCAAAATATGGCATGCCTCAAGTAGTAATTTCTGACAGAGGACCACAATTCGTCTCCAAATTCCTAGACGATCTGTATTGCCTGCTCAACATCAAACGGAATGCCTCGATGGCCTATCACCCTCAAACGGATGGCCAAACAGAATGGGCCAACCAGGAAATTGAAAAGTATTTACAACTTTTCATCAGTTACCAGCAAGACGACTGGATGGAATGGCTGGCATTAGCAGCATTCCAACATAACAACAGAATCCACTCTGTGACAGGCAAAACACCATTCTTCATAAACTATGGGTGGAACCCACCAGTTGCGCAAACAGGGTGGGTTCATACGATGACACCAGCTTCCGTGGACTTTGCAACTACAATGACAAAAATCCATGAGGAGACCAAGATCACCCTGGAGAAAGCTGCTTTATCAATGAAAAAGCAGTATGACAAGCACAAGAAACTGGCACACAAGTATTCGATCAACAACAAAGTCTGGTTAAATACCACAAACCTTCATCTGCCAAGGCCAAAACAGAAACTGGCAGATAAATGGACAGGCCCATTCAAAGTCCTCGCTCAAATCGGCAAATCTGCATACAAATTACAGCTGCTGACAACCTGGAAAATTCATAATGTTTTTAATGAAACATTACTGACACCATACGTGGCACCTGCCTTCCCAAACCAAGAATGGCTGCCTCCATCTCCCCCAGAACTCATCGACGATGAAGAACACTATGAAGTCGATGAGGTGCTAAACCACAAAACATGCAAAGTAAAAGGATGAGGCAGAGGCATGAAAACGACTGTTGACTACCTAGTCAGCTGGAAAGGCTATGGACCAGAATCAAACCAATGGGTCAATGAAAAATATATGAATGCAGCGGATGCCATTCGTGACTATGAACACAGAATCAATCATGTCAATGCCAGGGGGATTACGGAGCATCCAATGGGACATACACTGAGAAGCAATGTGTCTGAAGGATGCGATGGATCTACAAGCAGCCTCCGACAGACCGAAAGTCATGACATAATGAAGGACAACAATGGTACGATTGGACCACACAGGCCCATGAACAGGATGTACCAACGGCCCAATGCTCTCGCAGTTCGAGATCCTGCGAAAGACAAACGAAACAACAAAGGGTCAAAGTCTTTATAAACCTGCAGACCGATGGATGGGTCCAGCAGATCGGCCACCTCCTTCCAAGAGGGGGGGTCTGCCCTAACTTAACCATCGGGACGATGGTCTTAAGGAGGGGGTAATGTTATGACTTTTCCTATTTTCCTTCTATTTTCTTTTCTTTTTCCTTGGAAGTGACCTCTATCTTTGCCTAGTCAGGGCACTTAGGCCAGCACCTATGACCATGGGAACACTTAGCTCAGCAACCCAAGATGGTCATTCTCCTGTCACACTGCTGTATGCTGTGAAGGGAGAGACAATGCTCGTTTTGTCCTCAAATTGCAGTGC